ATCTCTACGGTGACTGGCAAGTTCAGGCTCATTGTTGCAACTACTCTGCAAATCCCTCATTGAGCGTCTCTCCTGCCCTCGTTAGCCTTCTCTACTTTGCCAAACGTGATGTCCTCCTCCATCAGTTGACCCCTCTTGATGATATGTCCACAGTAAGCTGCCAGTGTTCTGCTGTAACCCACATGAGTATCACTGGCTGATTCTGAGAAGTAGATCACAGGCCTTTTCTTTTTGTTCTACCTTAGTCTGGTAGCTGGGCTACCATGATATGTCTATCATGGAAATCTGTCTGCTGGTATTTGAAACGCTGGTGGTACAGCTGCCAGCATTACACATGTAAGCCACCACGTACAGCAAACTGACAGACAGGTGGTCATACAATGGACACGTGTCTCACACAATGTGATGGCATCACTTCAACCCCTGGATACAGTCATGCCTGAAACATCTCACTTTGCCCTTTCCAGCTATATTCATCTAAGGAATCTTCCACTTTCTCTTATATTTTCCCTTAACCTTTCTTTAGCTTTTTTTAGGGCTGTTGTGCATAGGGTCGCTATGAGTCGCAAACGACTCGACGGCACATAACAACAACAACAATATAATATTTACCCTTTTGTGACTGATCTTTTGTGACTGACCCTTTTGTGATCCTCCACATTATACAGTGGCTTTAGAATTCTTTATCATTCTTCAGTGTTGTATAGTACTACATTTTGTGACTGTATCCTAAATTTCCCTAATCATTTGTCCAATGATGTATACTTGACTTGCTCCCTCTCTTTGCTACGGTAAATATTTTCTTTTTTAGCATGACTTTTTCTACTGGCTTTTAGGATTTGCAGCCAAAAAGAATCCCTATTAATTCATTCTTCAAAAAATAAAAAAAAACCCACTCATTGTCAAGTTGGAACCAAATCACAGCTGACCCTCCAGAGGTCTCCAGAGGCTGTGAATCTCACTGGAGGAGAGTGCCAATCTTTCTCCCCGGAGCAGCTGGTGGATTCAAACACCTGCTTTTGGGTTGACACAGTACATCTCCTTATCCACCAGGACACCAGAGCTGGATTGTGCACCAGTAGGCTATCAATCCTTACAAGTTCTCTCTATTGTTGATTTAAGAGCTACAAGGAAAAATGTGTTTCCAGCAACTGATTATCTTTTCCTCATTCCAATCAATGGTAGTTCCTAAGCTGGCATATTAATATTTTAATTTTATATTAATACCTTGACATTGGTATAATCACTTGCTATGAGTCAGAGACCTGGATAATGACTAGGGATGATAGAAGGAGAACTGATGCCTTTGAGCTATGGTGCTGGAGAAGTGTGTTGAATATACTATGGACTGCTAAGAAAACAAACAGATTCATCCTGGAGGGTTAAACCAGGCTGCTCCTTGGAAGCAAGGATTCTGAGGCTTCGTCTGACATACTTTGGACATGTTTCAAGGAGGGACCAGTCCTTGGAGAGAGACATCATGCTTGGTAGGGAGGAGGGACAGCGCAGGATGGGAAGACCCTCTAGGAGGTGGATTGATTCAGTGACTGGGGTAATGGCGGTGGGTGTGTCGGAGACAGTGAGTTTGGCACAGGATAGAGCAGGGTTTAGGGCTGTTGGGTCACTATGAGTCGTAGGCGACTTGATGGTACATAACAACAACAATAATAGAATTATTTTGGTATTACACAATTAATACTGATAACTGGTATTGACAAATATATAATATGTAAGTAATTATTCAGTAATACATTAATATACCTCTCTCTCTATGGTGGCCTAGTGGCAAGGAGCTTCACTGCAATCCCGAAGGCATGCAGTTTGTATACACCAGCCGCTCTGCAGGAGAAGGATGGACAATCAGTCTTCTCCCATGCAATTAACTGCCTCTAAAAACCTGCCAGAAGGTCAGCTATGGGTTGGTTCTGACTCAACAGTACACAACACTACCACCAACAAGCCAATGTGTTAATATGTTGTTGTTAGGTACCATCAAGTCAACAAGAAAGATACATTGTTCCTAGGGTCACTATTACTCATAGCAACTTTTTTGTCAATTGAGAAATCTTAGATTTGTGGGTTCCTGGTGCACTATCTCTTTAAATGCACATAAATGCAGACAATCACATTACTGGACAGGCACAGGAGGCCAGCAAGAATCGTGCACACCTGAACTTGTGCCTCAGGGTGGTTGAACAAAGGAGATGCGGCTCAGAGAGTTAATGACAGATGTGTTCACCCACCTGTTACAGCTTAGATTCCCTGGGAGATAAGCTTAGCACAGGTACGCATTGGCAGACGCAGTTGTAGGCAAACAATGAGAAGATTAGAAGGAAACGAAGAGAAAAAGCAAAGTCAGTCCGAGGGTGCACAGGAGAGCTGCTTACTGCTGTGCGCAGCGGGGCTCAGTCCCACCGAAGAACGTGAGAGAACACGCTGGGGAACCACGCTGTCCCATTCCTCAAGGATTGCCCCGAAAGTCTTCATTCCCTCCCAGTTCACCTATGTGTCCCTAGGGTCCTGTGGGGGGCGGGGAGGAAGTCCCAAAGGAAAGTAAGAGATGTGGCGCAGCTGAAATGCCATCAGGCTACACATACAACCAGCTGGCTGCTGTAATGGACCAAGCAATGAGGCAAACAGTCAAAGCGACGCCCATGTCAAGGAAGGTATACAAAGCATTCCCTCTCGCACAGCACAAACCAGGGCGGCTCTAGGGCTCCTGTGCCTTCTCCAATCGAGGTGAGTTCTGAGCAGGCCCACATTCCTGGAGCCCTGAGCCTGTGCTGACGAACCAGCTTGGTATTCCTCTAAGGAAAATGAGGACTCACTGTTCTGATCCGTCTAAAAGGCCTTCATCCTGTGGGACCGTCCACCCAGGCCTCTCCACCGGGCTGGCAGAGTGATAATTACAAGGGCAGCTGTGGAGGATGCTGGGGACCCTTAATGTGCCCCATTTTTCATACTGAAAAAAAAAAAACTGTAGTCCACGTAGTGTCATTTCCAACTCCGAGCAGACCCCTGTGGTGCAGAGAAGTGTGTGCCACGTGGTTTTCAAGGTTGTGATCCCTCAAAAAAGCAGATGATGGCCGGGTATTTCTTCCATGGTACCTGCCTCTGAGTGAGCTCAAACTACCAACCTTTAGGTGAATGCTCCAATACTAACAGTGTGCACCACCACCCAGGACATACCATAAAAGCATACAGTTGACTCCTCATAAAAGCTGCAGACATTTATTTTCAGTAAAACAAATCCGGACAGTGTCCTTCCTATAAAAAGGAAGGGAAAGGACTGATGCTTATGGCAAGAAGCTGTACTGCAATCCCAAAGGTACACGGTTCAAATCCACCAGATGCTCTTCCGGAGATGGAGGGACAATTTCCTCCTGTACCAGTCAGATCTGATTTGATGGTACATGCAACAACAACAACAACAAAAATAATAAGATAATGCAAAGGACTGATGCTTAGCCAATGATATTTTAAGAATAAGAAAGAATAAGGATAGAAAAATAAATAAGAATGAGGATACATACATACATGGATGACAGTGTTAAGCTTGGTTCTCAAGAGCGTGAAGCGTCAAGGGCGGCCTCCCACCCCATCCCGAAAGTGGCAAAGTAGAAAGGAGACAAGATTTTGAACCAAACTGAATCCTGACCTGGCTCCTTATAAACTATCTGAATTTGGATCTGTTGTTCCACTTCTCTGAAGAGTTTCCTTACAGTGTCTTCATCTGTAAAGCAGGGATGGTAAGGGCAGCATCCTGGTGATGTTGTGGAGTTAGAAATAACACTTGCGAACGAGGCAGCATATGGCCAGTTCTGAAAAAGGTATCTGGTGAAAGACTGCAAGAATGAATGAATGAATGAATGAATGGAAAGAAATGCAAACAGAGCAGGCTTAAACCAAAAGGCAAGACTGTCTGCATGGAAACAACAGATTTAAAAGCAGAAAGAGGGAAAAGAGAGTTTTTCTAAGCAGGAGTGTTGGCTCCTGAACAGTGTGCTTAAACTTTAAAATATATTGTGGTTGAGGCAGAATCAACTCATGGCTGGCTGGCCCTCCGGTGGGTTTTCAGAGGCTGTAAGAGGCACAAGAGGAGACGGTCCATCTTTCTCCCTTTAAGCCACTGGCAGATTCGAACTGCCACAGAGGCAGTCAGCAGTGCAACTCCTTACAAACTAGACCACTAGAACTGTTTGGAAGAGTCCTAGCACACAGCTGTAAGGTTGTGCCAGAGAACTTTCCACTGGGCTCTGAACCACAGCATCCCTAGACATAGAGCGGGCACTCCTTCCTTTGTGTATTTCATGTAAGAAGGGCAGCACTGGTCAGCTTGGCCACACAGCAGCCTCAGAGATCAGGGTTCAGGCGCCAACCCCTCCCTCCTGCAATCATCACAAGGCCACCCTGCTTTGAGGACACCAGTGAAGAAGGCTGCCTCCCAGGAGGAGAAGCATTCCCGCCTCAGAAATGTTCCTGGCTAGCCCCCTGGGTCCTGCTGCCCTTGCCCCAGCCCGAGGCCCACCCCCGGCTCCTGCACGCTCCAGGGCCCCACATCCTAGGGCTGGGAGAACACTCTGAACATAAAATTAAATCCATTCTCCTTGGAGCTTGTAAACGAACACTCTTTTATTCGCTAGGCATATTCTCTCTTCTGTGTGCCGTGTTTTTGGCTGGTTTCCATGGCAACAAAGAAGGGTGAATGATGGAGCGGTCAGAAAGCAGCCATCAGAAAGCAGGTACAGGTTGTTTATTTCCTTTCCCCATCCTCAGGAGGCCGAGGGCTGCAGTTAGGAGTAGTCACGACTCCTCCACTCTGCAAACCACTCACAACAGAAGCTTTGAGTTCCTCCCCATTGTGTTCACTGGGGGGAGGGGGGGGGCAGAGGAGCAGGGGCTGTAGTCCGGCTCAGTGAGAAGCTCTTCCTCCTGGAGGTCAGGCCAAGCTGGGTATCCTGCAGCTTTAGAACACTCCAGTCCGCAGTGCCTGCCACAAGTCAACAACCAGCTCCTCTCGGCTGGCTGCTGCCTTTGTCCTGCGTCTGAGAGTTAGGGGGGTCCTCTGCCACCTGGGGTTTGCTCTCAAGCACCTGCCGGACCCTCTGCATGCCTGGGAAGAGGAGGACAGAGTGGGATGGATGGGACAGAAATACAGAGCAGGAAGAAGGGCCTGGTGGGGACTGGGCTGGGAAGGTGGACCACTCACCCAGGTGGAGGCGGTGGGCCTTGTCCGAGAAGATGAAGCGAAACCAGCCAGGCTCTTTACACCCGAAGGTCTTGCCAAAGGACAGCAGCACTTTGTTCTCCAAAAACTGGCGCCAAAGCATCATTTCCCCCTCAAAGGTGGCCTCAGGCAGATACTGGGAGGGGAAGCGGGGCTCAAGGCGCAGCCAAGAAGGAGTCCAGCCTCAACCTACACTTGTTCCCCCGATACATGAAGGCCTCTCAGCCTCCACCTTCACCTGTTTTACCTTTCTCAGGTCAGCCCAGATGAAGAAGCCTGCCCCCCGACACAAGAAGGGGATCCCCAGGGCCCGGAGCTCTTCTGAGACGTAGGTGTGGGCAGTCTTGAGGCGGGCATGGTTTTCCGGCAGGTACACTTGGCTGATCCAGTCTGTTTGGGTGGACACCAAAGGATAAATAAATCACCCCCATCAGTTCCCCACCAGGTTTGTCTCAGATTTGAAAAGGAAAGAGCCACAAGCTTCTGAGGATGAGTTAGCCCCTTTGCGAGGAGGCTGGGAGCCCTGGTGGTGGCACAAAGCGTATGGTATCAGGCTGCCAGAACGCTCCTTAGAAATGTCCTTGTCTCAAAAGAGCATCCTGGTTGCTTTTCTCCTAAGACAGATCCGTTTGTTCTTTTGACTTCTGTTGCTGTGGTTAGGTGTGGCCAAGTCACCTGTCCTGCTCTGTCATCATGGTCTCCACGATATTTAAGTGCAGTGGGGCAGTCACCGTGTCATTCGTCTCATTGAGGGTCTACCTTGTTTTCTCTAACCCTCCACCTTTCCCTGCGTGATGTCTTTTTCTAAGGGCTGGCCTCTCCTGACAACATGTCCAATGCATGTGAGACACAGCTTCACCGGCCTTGCCTCTAAGGAACACCCTGGTCACAAGGTTCAGACCTGTTCTTCACAGCGTCGCTATGAGTCATAGTGCGCTCGATGGCACCGAACAGCAAGAAGCAGTGGCAATCATAAGAAATTTTTGTTATCGAAACTCACTTCCTGAACCTAGGGAAAGAATAGACAGCTAGGGGAAAGTGAACTCCATGCTAACAGTTGGTTTTGCGTTGTTTTCTTCTGTTAATCTCTAGTCATTCCTTAGTTGCCTCTGTTCTCTGTTTTCCTGTGCTCACAGCTTGTAACAATGAGTTCCTGCTGGCCAAGTGCCTGCTGTACGTCAGGTCAAGCCTAATTTCATTAAAAACCATAATAACTCAACCAGACAGGCACCACTAGGATCCCTATTCTACAGACGAGGAAGTGAGGCTCGGAGAGGTGGGCAATGTGTATAATTATACAGTCAGGCACTGACCTAGTAGGGTATAAACCCAGTCTGGACCCAGCGCTTGTGTTTTCAACCACTCTCAATTCTTCTTTCTAGAACCATCCCTGATTTTGGACAATCCCTCATCACAGTTAGACTGGGAAGAACTCCCCCAGCCCCCAACCATTTCAGGTCACCAGGCCCAGGTAGTCACCTTGGTCCCGGAGCAGCTGCGCCATCTGGTACTGGGCCAGGCCACTGAGGCCATGGTAGCGGCAGAGGGAAGCCACGGCACTGGCCACATCTGGGTTTTCTGTGTACAGCGTGCCAAAGCGGAGCCCAGACATCCCGAAGTCCTAGAGGAGGATGGTAGATAGGGAGTGGCCAGTCCTTCTTGGAGGAAACCAGTTCCACCCCTCTTGCCACCTGTCTGACACCCGCATGGCCAGCCAGGAGCTCACCTTGCTGGTCGCCCACATCACGTGGGTCCTCTGGGGGTCAGGAAGCCTGTAGAGAGCACACAAAGGGAATAGAAGGCTTCAAACAAATGGGGAGATGAGGACTGAGTCGGAATCACCAATCCCTTTAGAACTGGGCAGTAAACTTAAACCTCCGGGCCAAGTCCAGTCCACCGCTTATTTTTATAAATAATGTTTGACTGAAATACAACCACATTCACTCATTTATATATCGTCGATGGCTACTTTTGTACTACTATGGACTCCAAAGCCTAAAGTATATAGGCACTATCATGTTAGATAGAGAAAAGATCAAAGTTGTCAATGATTTTATCTGACTGAGATTTACAATCACCACCCTTGCTACCTGCAACAAAGAAATAAAAATACACATCACATTGGGAAAATCTGCTGTCAGAACAGGACCTCTTGAAACTGCTAAAGAGCAATGATGTCAGTGTAAAAACTAAGGGGCACCTGACCCAAGTCATGTTCTTTTCTATGGTCACTTACTATGCATCTGAAAGTTGGACAATGACTAAGGATGACAGATGAAAAACCACGGCCTTTGGGTTGTGGCGTAGAAGGAGAGTACTGAATATCTCACTGACAGTCAGGAAAACAAGCAGGTCGGTCTTGGAGAACGTAAAACCCGAGTGTAGGTTGGAAGTAAGAATGGTGAAACTTCACCTCACATACTCTGGGCATGTTGTTAGGAAGGGGTTGTCCTTGGAGAAAGACATCCTGCTTGGAAATGGAGGGTCAGTCAGTGAGAGGAAGACCTTCAATGAGAGAGATGGACACGGTGACTGCTGGAGTGGGCTCGAGGCTATCAGAGATGGGGAGGACGGTACAGGATAGTGTAAGGCTCGGATCTGTGGTTTACAGGTTTGCTGTGAGCTGCAGTTGATTCAATGGCACATAACAAAAACAACTTGCATCAACAACAAATGGATAGAGAAGCTGTGGTATATTCACACAATGGAATACTACGCTGCATTGAAAAACAAGACACTCATGCAACTATGCAAATTATTCAAATAATTATTCAGTTATTCAAAATGGGCAACCCTGGAGGAAATCTTGTTGTTATTGTTGTTGTTATGTGCCATCAAGTTGCTTGCAACTCATAGTGACCCTGTGTATAAGAGCTCTATACGCTCTTCTATCCTGTGCCAACCTAGCCATCTCAAATGCACTTATTCCCACCTCCCTAGTCACAGAATCGATCCATCTCATCAAAGGTCCTCCTCTCCTTTGCCGCCCCTCCACTCTGCCAAACATGATGTCCCTCTCCAAGGACCAGTCCCTCCTTGATACATGCCCAAAATATGTCAGACAAAGCTTCAGAATTCTTGACTCCAGGGAACATTCTGGCTTTACCCTCTCCAGGACAAATTTGTTTGTTCTCCTAGCAGTCCATGTATATTCAACACTCTTCTCTGGCACCACAGCTCAAAGGCATCAATTCTCTTTCTATCAAACCTAGTCACTGTCCAACTCTCTGATGCATAGCACGTAACTGCGAAGACTATAGCCCGGAGCAGGTGCACCTTAGTCTCCAGTCTGACACTGTTGCTCTGAAATCATGCTGAGTGAAATATCTCAGTCACAAAAAGACAAATATTGCACAGTGCCACTGTTGTAAAACAGGACTGACATCAGAGTTGGGGTGAGATTGAGAAAAACTGAATAAATTATGTATAGTGCATTGAAACAGATGAGGGAGAGGACAGTTTAATAGTGATATGTAATTGGGTATTATGGTTTTGACAAGAGTCCAGAATGAAGGTTGCATAGTGGAGTGTACTTGGGGGGAGAGGGGGATTGTATACCAATGAAAGAATTTTTCTTTTACTTTTCAAAGAGAGGAGAAAACTGGGGGAGGAGTGGGTAGGGAGAAAAGTCCAATAATGAAGGAAATATCTGTAAAATATCTGTAAACATCCATTAAAAGTAATAAAAAAAATTATAAAAAACCAACAACAATTTGCCCACCTTTGATTCAAATCAAGTATTATCTCCTCAACAAGACCTTCCCTGACCAGCCCTAAGCATACACATCTACTCAGGGACCCCAAACTGATTACTCAGTGCTCCTCAGATTTCTTTTAAGCCCTTCTCATGGCCATAAGCAAATGACTGGCTGAATAGTTAGCTACTAAGGGTTTTATTTTCACTAGCTATAAAAGATAACAAAAGAAGAACATATACCTTTCTGGTTTGCTTTTGTAGCCTCAGTATCTAACAAAGAACTTTCCTCTCACAAGAGGTTCATAAATATTTTTTAAATTACTAAATGAAGATTACATACAAGTCACTTTTTTCTCTGCTTTGTTTTTCTAATCCATAAATGAACAAGAGTAATGCTCCATGTCCTTATACTTTATAAGGATTAGATAAGAGGCATAGGGCTCTGAACTGGTTCTTTCTGGTTGTTAGGACTAATAAAGCAAAACTAGGGCAGACAAGAATTTGCAAAATGTGGGTGCCTAAATCAATAACTGGAATGGGGACAATTACAAGTTGAAGCCCTAGAATGGGAAATTCAGAAGAGGAGTAATAAGTCCTTTTAGGAGCTTGATGCAGAAATTATTGCCAGGATGGTGGAGAGTGACATAAAGTGGCTTGGTGGGCTGCCATTGTTGAGCCAGGCACCATTGTTTCTGATTCTGCTGATTAAGAAACTGGGGTAATGGGGGAGGGTGTGTCAGAGACAGTGAGATTGGCATAGGAAAGGGCAGAGTTTGGGGCTGTTGTACATAGTGTCGCTATGAGTTGCAGATGACTCAACAGCACATAACAACAACAACATCTAGCCAGTGAAAAAGCTGCCTTTGTTTATTAAGAAAGAGATTAAGTTTTTAATTGTTGTTGTTTTTGTTGTACACCATTCAATTGGAACCAAGCCATAGCTGATTCTTCATGGGGTTTTCAGTTAATTGCCTAGGAAGAGATTGCCCATCCTTCTGCCACAGAGCAGCTGATGGATTCAAACTGAGTGCCTTCAGGGTTGCAGCACAGTTTCTTACCACCAGGCCACCAGAGCTCCCTAAGCTTCTAATAGGGTAGAAACTTTTAAAACAACAGTTGAAGTAATTTCCAATTATTCTGGTTCATTCACATTTTACAAATTTTGGCACATTCTGATTTTGTTTCATCAATTATGACTGAATCAGAAAAGGCCAGTTCAAAGCCTTGATAGAAAGTACTTAACAGAGTTGAAAATTCTGAATAAATGTTAGAACTGCTAAAATCTCGTAAGTCAAGTTTACAAGGGACTTCAGAGATGCTGTTGTCCCAAGTGTTTTCAAATGTCTTTTAGCCACAAATTTCATCTGCCAAAACCAAACCTAACATTTAAGTATCTAGAAGTGCTTGGCACATAAAAAATTAAATTGCAGCTTCTCAAGGGATGGAGGAAATCGCTAAGGATGCCAGCTTCCCTTCACAATTCTATGATGGTTAGTTTTACATGTCAACTTGTCTAGGCTATATCATTCCCCATGGTGTGGCCAAATATTAGTCTAGAGCAAATTATCTCTTATTATATAATATAATGGATGTGATATAATATAATTACTTTTCATAATGCAATCTAATGTCACCAACCATGGCATTAGTTGAAGTCACACCAGTGTAGGATGGACCCTAAAGTTAATCATTTCCAAATAAGAGAGCAGAGATAGCCCACAGAGGGAGACAGATGCCATGTGAAGACCATCTATAAGCAAAGGAACCACATGAATAGCGGGCAGACACCAGAACTAGATGGGAGGTTCAGAGAAGCCACGGACACAGCTGAGAGTCTCATTTGGACTTATGATGAGAAAACAAAATTTCTTTTCTGTAAAGCTATCCATTTGAGCTATTTCTGTCACACAGCACTAGATAACTAAGACAAATTTTCAAACCATTGATTTAGTCCAACTCTCTCATCTTCCTATTAGGGGGTATGAGGGTCAGGGGAATCAGAGGATTTGACTGGTTAGGTTCTGTGGAACAACAGGGGCTAGTGGGGTGCTATGGGATACTGGGGTGGGGGCGGAAGCAGCTCTGTCAGGGTAACCTCACCTTTCTAGGCTCAGGACACTGTGGTAGGTGGCTGACTCCTCAAACACTGACAGCATGTAGACCTCATCCACAACCACGTGCAGCTTGTGCCTGAGGGTGGGTGGCAGGGAGGGGAGAACTTAATTCTTAGAGTAAATATAGCTCCCAGGTGGGGAGGCAGTACCCCAGAAATCCAAAGGACTGTGGTCCAGCCCAGGTGGCCAAACGTTTTTCCCCCTAGGAACCCCTGTATTCCATCTATTTTTTTTTCAAAGTAAATGATTAAACTCAACCAAACTCATTGTTAGCAAGTCGATTCTGACTTTCAGTGGCCTCACAAGCTACATTAAAGCTGCCCCAAAGGGTTTCCAAAGCTGAAAATATCCGGGGAAGCGGACAGCCCCATCTTTCACAGAGCAGCCAGTGAGTTCAAACCACTGTGACACCAGATCTCATTAAGAAGATGTTGTTGTTATTCCCATCGAGTCAGAACTGACCCAGGGCTAGGCCTCCGGTGGGTTTTCAGAGGCAGTTAATTGCACGGAAGGAGACTGCCCATTTATCTTCCTCAAGCAGCTAGTAGATTTGAACCTCGTACCTTCAGAACTGCAGCACAGCTTCTTACCACTGGGCAATCAGAGCTCCCCAAAATAAACACCAGTGGAGCTTATAAAAGTGATGAAGAGGAAAGGCAGTTCAATACACAGGTCTCAGATCCATCAGATTCAAGGCTGGCTGCATGTCTCACTAATCAGTATGTTTGGGCACAAATGTGGTCACTTGGACACTTGCAGCCTCAGTTTCTCACCTATTAAATGGCGATAAGAGGGTTTGGGTAATCTCCTTCAATGTAATTGTCAGCCTCTGAAAACCTACTGGAGGGTCAGCTATGAGTTGGTTCTGACTCAATGGCAATGAGGTTTGGTTTTGTTTTTCAGATACTGATAGAGTTGTTGGGAATTAAATGAGATAGATTCCATAACGCATACATACACCTAGAGCCTGGAGAGTGGGCGGTAAATGAAAGCTGTTGTAAAGTCCTCCATCCTCACCTTGCTGCCAGGCCAGGAACAAAGCAGGTACAAGTCCATGGTAGCGGGGAAGGGCCCTCCGGGCCTCCCAGGAATGCCCACCTCACACCCTGATATGTGTAGACACATGTGGGAATATGGGGAGGGCATCTCACCTCTGGGCGAATCCCAGGTACTCCTGCAGCTCTGCTGGGGTGTAGATGTCACCCAGAGGGTTCTGGGGGTTGATAAGGATGAGGCCTCTGACTGTCACATCCTGAAACCAATCAACGGAGCAGGAGAGCCTCAGGGGACCCTCCGCTTCTCTCAAAGGCCAGGGCCTCAAAGTCCCAGCACTGGATGAGATGGCTGGCTGATATCGCAGGGCAAAGGGATGTGTGTTCACGACCCCACACGGGGCAAGTAAGGACCCAGAATGATGCCTGCAGCTTTGTGTCAGTCATGAGAAGGAAACACGCCCACAGAACAAAAGCCAGAAAGGTACAGGCCCCCGTGGCAGGAGAGGCTGCTCTGGCTGGTGGGATTACAGGGCGGTGTCTGTACTTTCCAAATTTCCTCCATGAACCATTTTGATGATGGAGAAAGGAAATGAAGGAGATAGATGTTTAGAAAGGGGTCCAAAAGGAACCATTAAAGGATTGGCCTTGGCCTTCCCCCTTGATTCCAACTCCCCGAGGCCACACAGCTCAGAGTAGAAGTGTGCTCCAGAAGGTTTTCAACAGCTGATCGTACCAAAGTAGGTCACTAGGCCTTTGTTCCAAGGTGTCTCTGGGTAGATTCAAACTACTAAACTTTTAGTTAGCAGCTGAATATGTTAGCTGCACAACCCAGGACTCTTCAGAAGGCCCCAGAGTCCCTCAAAGTGGGGTCCACAGACCACCCCCTCAAATCACCTGGGAGACCTGCCCCCTCAGCTCCACATCTGACCTCAGCCAGAATCAGGTGGAGTGGGAGTGGGAGGCAGGGGGGAGGATGGTGAAGGGGCGTATGTTTCTAAGCCCCTCTGAGAGCACTGAGTCCTTCCTGGGAAGCCAGTCCATGAACAGAGTTCCGAGTGACCTCTAGAACAGTCAGCCCGATGCTAACACCCTACTGCCCTGGCCCCACAACAGGGTCGCAGCCCCACTCCCAAGAGGAGGTCTGTCACTGGAAGAAGGGGCAAGGCCCTGTGCAGACCCACCCACTCCCCAACCTTGGGCTTAGATTGGCCCCCAGACCTCAGAACGAGCTCCCTGCAGGGCCATTTCCAGCTTCTCCACTGTCAGCTGGAAGGGACGTGTGTCTGGTCCAGTGCTCTGGAATGAGACCCCCAAAGCCACCAGCTCAATTCATTGACCCTTATACCTGAACTTTCTGGCCTCTCCTCAGCCCTGTCACCCCAGCCTCCTTAGAACAGTCCCCAGAACAGAGGGGGACTCCAGTCTCCCTCACCACTGTCCACTTCTGCCTCACCACAGCAGGGATGCCCAAATCAGACTTCCATTTCTCTCACTAGAGTTCCAGGATTTACATCTGGGGTAACTCCACCTCCTTCACCACCCACTGGGTCTTGGTTTTTACATCTACTCCAGGGATCTCAAAGCTTAGACCTTAAATCACCAGGAGACTAAACTAGCAGACACACAACAGAAGGCTCCACTCTCCTTTCACCTGCAACCAGAGCCCTCGGCATGGCCTCTCCCATGGTCAACTTCAAATTCAGGTGCAGGATGTTCTGCTGACAGAAAGAACAAGATCCCACCCGAAATCCCAGGAACACTTACCTCACTGTCCAGGTAGACATACACCAGTCGGACGTTGCCATAGAGATAGATGTGCTGTGTGATGGCTCCGTAGAAAGGGGTCGGGATCAGGAAGGCATCTGGGGGCAGAAGCGGACCAGGGCTTGTCACCCTGTGGCCAGTTCACCCCAGGACCCCATCCACTAGGCTTGCTGCTTCTCCCTTGAGGAACATTCGGGGGCATTCTTTCTCCTTCAACAATAGGTCTCCCCTAAACCCTAAAATTCTTCCTGAAGTTTGGATTCAGTGAGATCAATTTCTTTTCTAATAAAGACTCAAAACCTCTCAACCCCATTGTCATCAAGCCAGCACCGATGCACAGCTGAGCTGAGTCTCCAGTGGGTTTTCAGCGGCTATAAATCACAGGGGAGGAGATTGCCCCTCCATCTCCCAAGGAGCAGCTGGTGGATTCAAACTACCTGCCTTTGAGTTGGCAGTACAACTCCCTACCCCTAGGCTACCAGAGCTCCCTGGTGACTTGTCAGCATTTAACGAGCATCTACTATATTCTGGGAGCTACGCCAACCACGGCTCTGCATTGTGTATCACTGGGTCTTCTTGATGATGACCCTGTGAAGTGGGCACTGTTATCTTCTTTATTTTACAGATGAGGAGAGTGAGGGTTAAAGGGCCCTTGTGAAGCTCTCATCATGCTGGATGGCTCTAACAACAGAATTGGGAGCGGGGAGTAAAAGTTGCAAAACGATTGGTGGAGATTCAACAAACGGGAAAATGTGACAAAGTCTAGGACTGTCCAAATAGAGAACGTGCTGCTTCAGAAGAGGTGAGTGCCTCACCCTGGGGGCCCTACGGTGAAAGGTAACTATTTGGAGACTGGTCAAAGAGGGAAGTCTAACTAACTGTGGGCAAGTGGACGGGATGAGGTGACCTCCAAGAGCCACTCAACATGGGGAGACACTCCTCTAGTTCTGAACAGGATGTATTGTCAAGGTCAGTCAACCCGCCTTTCTCCAGGAATGAACCAAATTTGGTTTAAGCCAACCAGGGGTTTCCGAGTCCCCCTGACCAGGAATTGACTGAATGGGCTTCCGTTGGTTCTGACCAATGAGACCAAGAGGAATTCTGCGGGGGACTCCTTTGAAAAGGAGGCCCTATCTGACCCCAGCCTGAAGACAACAGACAGGCAGGGCACAACCTCGCTCCCTTCTTCCTGCTCTGGGACAACATGTCAGGTGAGGGTGCGACAACCACCTTGGGACCATGAAGGAGAGGTGAGATGATCCCAGAGTGGCAGCGCATAACATGACACCACGCCAGTTCCTCGGAAGTGCAGGTCCCCGGGGTCCTGTTGAGCCACTGACTTGCGTCTTGATTCATCTGCTACTGTACTACAGCCCCGAGCATCCTGACCCAGCAGTCTACTCACCCCCGGCCTCACACAGCACCGTGGCCAGGGCAGAGAGGAGGGAGGCGCAGCCATTCAGAACAACCACCTGAGGGCGACATATCCAAGGCACAAGATGAACCTGTCCCTGGAGAGAGCAAGGACCCACAGCCTACGGGCCTGCATGGCACTCAGGTAAAGTCAAAGAGTCCCTCCTGAGTGTCCACCAAGTGCCCAAAGACCCCTCCTGACCGCCAACGAAAACCCTGAGAATGGAGCCTGGTGGGGAGCTGGTCCCTCTGTGAGTCTTACCTGGAGTATTTGGGGCAAAGAGGGACCAAAGAACAAAATGGGGCAGAACTCTATCCAGACCCTAAAGGTCAATCACAGTCACTGCCATGGACTTGGAACAGACTCCTAGCTGTCCCTTCAGTGGGTTTTCAGAGGCTGTAAAATCACTCGAGAAGAGACTGCCCATCTTTCTCCTGCAGAGCAGCTGGTGGATTCGAATCATCAGAGAGAGCACGTCGCTGGGCTAGCAGGGCAATGCCCTACCCACTGTGCCACCAGTGCTCCCCTGAAACATATCAAACCTAAGTGAAAGGCAGCATTCAGTCCCACCTGACCCCAGGTCAGCCACACGTCGGGAAGAGGAGGCTCTCAGAGCAAGGAAGAGCAGAGGGATGGAGACTCACATTCTCTGGTTTGAGCGGTGCTGGGCTCTTGCAGTAGAAAGACAGGAATCTGGCCACTTCCTCCCGGAGGCTGGAGATAAGCAGACAGACAGTGTCTGCCAGGGGGCGCTCAACCCTCAGTCTGAATCACACTCCTCTGTGACTCTTCAGAGAGCGGCAGCCATCGCCGCCCCATCCACAAAGGGGCGTGAGGTCAGCCTGCAAGTCTGCCCTCCCTCACCCACGTGCATGGCAACTTCCATGGCTCTCAACACCCAGCTCCACAAAACCAGGAGACTTCAAGACCATCAAAGTCATGCTCTACATGGCACCCTGGTTAACAAGAAAATAAAACAATACTAAAATGCTATTACCATGAGAACTATTATTATAGGTATTATTGATAATATGAGCAAGTACTTACTGACGCAGATGCTGTTTAGAAAGTGTTACTCATTTGATTTTCCTAATAACCTAGTTATACAGTCACGGCTATTATTGTCAGGAAACGCGCATGGCTTAGTAGTTAAGGAGCTGTGCTCTCAACCCAAACGCACAAGGTTCGAATCCACCAACTGCTCGGCAGCAGAAAGATGAGAAAGCTCCTCTAGAGGGGTTTGTTGTTGTTGTTGTTGTTGTTGTGTACTGTCAAGTCGGAATCAACCCATAGCTCACCCTCCGGCAGGTTTTCAGAGGCAGTTAATCACACAGGAGGAGACTGCCCATCCTTCCAGCACCCTCCTCCCCACTAGTGTGATTTACAGCCTCTGAAAACCCACTGGAGGGTCAGCTACAGGTCTGTTAAAATTCGACGGCACTTAACAACAACAACTAGTATTGTTATTCCTATTTTGAAGATGCAGTAACTGAAGTTCAAAGAAACCTTCATGCTGCTAAGTGGCCAAGTCTACCTTCAAGTCCAGCGGTCTGACTCCAGGCCCGCCCTCTGACTTACCATTAGAATGCATGCTTTGGAGTCTGCCACCTTGAGATCAAATCCTGCCCTATCAGTAAGCCCTTAAAACGCTGTCTGGCCCATAGGAAGTTTTCTACAAATGCTACTAGTATACTTAAAGGTGCCCTGGCAGGATGGTATGTAAATTATCGAGCTAACCGAGAGATCAGTGGTTCAAATCCACTAGCTGTGCTGCAAAGAAAGAAGGGTGGCCTCCTTCCATAAAGATACGTAGTCCTGACACCAGCTCGAGGTTTGCAGTGAGCAAGTACTAACTTGAGAGCAGCGGATTTGGGAGTTTTGTGATTTTTAAAACGATAAGCATTTTCTACACCTCTCATCTGATCACTAGGGACAGGGATAAAGGTGATTCAGGCTCCCCTTACACGCCAAAAGGAACTGAGAAAATGCCATAAACTCCTCACTTGAGGGTCCTCCCCATACCTCACTCATGGATTCAGGTAAAGGACCACCTGAGCTGGTGGGGCTGGAAGGAGGCACCTGTTCTCTACAGAAGCTTCAGGAGACCCGACGAGCCCCTGACAACCAGGCCCAGGCCATCAGCCTACAGCCAGCTTCCTCAGGCTGATATGAGGCACTGTGGTCTAGCTCTTTGTCATAGAAGGCTGAACTGTGCATTGTGGGATCTCTCATCTCTACCTACTAAATGTCTATAAATTCCCCCCCCTTTCCAGTTGTGACAACCAAAAAATGTCTTCAGATGTTACCAAATGTCCCGGGGCACAAAACCACCCCCATGTGTGATTCCCTGTTCTATATTCAAGACTTACAACAGGTGCCCCCTCCAGTCAGGGTACTGTAGCAGGGACGGCTCCACCCGCCGCGTGGCGCTCTCGCTCAACTGGGGACAGAGAGGACAGAACATGAGGGCCAGCAGTGCCGCCTGCAGCCACCCGGCTCTTCCCACCAAGCTGTCAGCTTCACAGCCTCGGGCTGGGTGTGCTCCTCAGAGAGGCCCCAAGAGGAGCAGCGTGGATACAGTATGTTCACGCCCATTCTGCAGAAGAGGAAACGGAGACTCAGCAAAGAGAAGTGGGGCAACCTAGTCACAGAGCTAGCAGTCGGCAGAGCAGAGCATCCAGGCTTTTCACTAATCCAGTGCTGTGCGTCCTACGACACTCCGGCTTTGGGAAAGCGGAAGCGGATCTGCTCAGGGAGTGAGTGGCAGGAGATGAAGATACTCTGCGAGTCTCCGGGGTGGGTTGACGGGCGAGCTCAGGAAACGGATGTCCTCACCACAGTGCTGGTTCCAGCTCCACCAGACACTGTTGTCCAACAGGCTCAGCTCAACCTCACGCTTTGGGAAAACGTGTGGGCTTCTAGCCAACCCCTCCCTGGCCGGTTGCTGGGTGAGGACTACCACAGACACGTGCTCAGGAAGGGCCGTGGGCAGTGGGCCAAAGGTAAGACAGGACACCGGACAATGAGAACGGCTCCCAGCTGCCGTGTCATCTCTCCCTTCTCAAATCCGAGTCCACTGGCCACTTGCTACATGGGCTGCTGAGTATCTGAAATGCAGCTGGACCGAATGGAGACATACTAACTTTTCAAGATGTGGAATGAAAAAGTATATCAAATATCACACCCGTGTTTTTATGTATTATTCAAATAGCAATATTTTGGATATCAATTCTCATTACCAGCGAGTTAGAGCTGACTCATTGAAGACCCATCACTGGGTTTCTGAGGCTGTCACTTACATGGGAACAGTGTCCCGAGACAATCTGGTGGATTTGAACCATCAGAGAGGAACACCCCTTGGGTTAGCAGTGCAACTCCCTACAGACTATTTCACTAAAGCCCCAAATTTTGGAAATGTTGTTATTGTAACATGACATTGAGTTACCTGAGACCCTGTGGACAACAGCTCTGAAGCCTGCCCTGTCCTGAGCCAATCTCACTGACTCCAGCACACCCAACCCCATTGCCCTAGTTATTGTACCCATCCATCTCATCCGGGGTCTTCCTCTCCTGTGCTGTCCCTCCACCCTTCCGAGGATGATGTCTTTCTCCAAGGATCAGTCCCTTTCCCTCCTGACCACATGCCCAAAGTCTGTGAAACGGCGCTTCAAAATCCTAGCCTCCAAGGAGAAACTTGGTTTTACCCTCTCCAGGACAGACCCATAGCAGGCTAAATAAAATATAATATTAGTTACTATTACTGGGTTTTATTTTACTTTCTTAACAGAAAATATAGGGAGTTCTGGTGGCCACGTGGTAAGAAGCTGCAATCTCAAAGGCCTAAGGTTCGAGTCCACTAGCTGCTCCACGGGAGAAGGATGGGCAAACTCTTCCTGTCTGACAATTCACTGGAGGCTCAGCTATGGGTCAGTTCCAACTAGACAGCACACTATAACAATGGCAATAGAAAGTTTAAGATTAAACACACAGCTCTCATTTTATTTCTATTAGACAGCACTGGGCTCTCTTAAAAGGTACCATGGGCTATATAGGTAAAATCTGCAGAGTTGGCCCCAGATTATTCAACTCCATGCACAACAAGATCAAATGAATGGGAGGGTGGAGGGACAGCAAAGTAAAGGAAGACCCTCGAAGAAATGAATTGAGTAAGTGACTGGGGTGGTAGGGGTAGGTGTGTCAGAGACAATAAGGTTGGCTCAGGATAGAGCAGGGTTCAGAGTTCTTGTATAAGGGGTGGCTATGTGTCGCAAGCAGCAACTTGACAGCATTTAACAACAACATGTTAAAACTGGCCACTTAAAAGCATAAAACCACACAGACTTTCAACTAAGTACATTACATTAAAAGCAAAAGTAGAGACACTCAAAGATCACTGCTTCTTAACTATGTTAGCGTATTTTATTTCAGTCTATGTTTTTGAGGCTATTTACATGCAGAGCTCTGGTAACCCAAAGGTTGTGCTGGTAACCCACTTTGTTAGGTGCTGTCGAGTTGAGTATGACCCACAGTGATCCAATGAACTACTGATCTGGACTTTGTTCTGTCCTGTGCCAACCTCATTATTT